TCACGAGGTAGGGGCAACTGGCCATTCGCAGCAGCGGCCCATCTTCTACAGCGTTAAGCTTTGGTATTCAGCCACAGGAGGCAAGACAGTTGTCCTTTCGGATAAGGTTTGCTTGCTGGTGCCACCAATGCAGCACGTGCTCGCATCTACACTTCCATCTAAAGTTAGTGGAGCACACATAATGAACCCGAGATGTTTCTTGATAAATGTACCCATGTTTAAGTGGAACTAAGTTATTCGTCACCGCCTAGAACTGCACTACCTATTTGGCAGTATCCACATCAGTTGTCCAATTTTGATGATATAAGTGAAATCAGTACCTACGATTTCGTCTACCAAGTGACTCACTTGAATTGGGAAAAGCATCATGAAAAGAAAGTATGAGATAGTGTAGGGGAAAAGGGCACCTCGAAACCCCTACTCAAATATCCTGTACCATAGGCTGTGAGACTATCCTAAGTGCTGCATAAAGTAGGATTACAGGCTTGCATCCATGGCAACGAAAGTGTTTCTAAGGTTGACCAACAGTTTGCCCAAGATGGTAGAGATTAATTGTGTTAGAATAATGCAGCTTCTATTGTCGTGCACACAGTACACGACCAAGTAACTGGTCTTCGAGATAGTCAAATGGAAGGAGTGTATTGCGTTCTCTCAGTGCTATGGTGGACGGATTTCCCAAACCTGCAATTAATCATACGTCGAGAATTTGGCAACTTAAATGTATGCTTACCCGAAATTTGTCAAACCATAGTCATCACAACAAGTAATTGAACCTGTGGAACTTCACTATGGAAGGATCATTCAAGTCACCTTCACATCTCGTGCTCTGCAGAAGGCACTAGAGGTGGACCAGTGTAAATCGTCCATTATACCGCTGTCCATGACACCTGCAGGTACCATAAACAAGTCCCTGGGGAGGCTCGAAATGATAGAAAGCAACTTTATGTTGTTCTCACTCGACAGATGCCTTCCCGTAAAAAGCCATTAACCACTGAATTGTCTTTATTATGGAGCATTAATAAGTCTTGAGCGATTTGGAAATCTAGCTATACATTTCGTAAGCTCATACGTCTACGTAGCACTCCCTTAGCCTCACACCGTCAGCCCTATCTCATTACTCATTTAGTTAACATCTCATTAGCGTCCGTTGTCAAACAAGTAGGCACCAATTCAAGACAGGTCTGGAATGATGCTGCCACAGGAAAAGGCTTGGAGCTTAACGCTGTGCAGTTCCAGCCACTTTAGCCTGGAACATTCCGCCTTGACAGGTAGTCCAAAGACATGCGCCAGCACAAACGCTTTTCAAAAATTGTGCTTACAAGTGGTGGCAGTAACCGCACTTTCGGTGCATGGATGCTTTCTTCTACTGATCAAATTGTTTCAGCAAAGAAATTTATTGAATGCTAGGCATACAATCCATAAGTAAATTTTTGCACTTCACGATGCTGTACTTCATGTTTCGCTCTCGTATATTTCCACTTGCTGGGCACCGAGATGCCAACGCAGCAACATATGTTGGCTGATAGATCTGGATGCACATTGACCGAGTGTGTCTGATATAAAAACCAAGATTACTAACCCATTACCACTGTTATGGATGCCGCAGCTTCACCCACAACTTTTCCATTGGTATCCGAAATGGTGTGGTACTAGAGCCACTTCACAGAACAGCGACTCCTTCAGAAACAGTTTCCATTAAACCCTTTCAATCTGCAGATAAACTCACTTTCACATGGTTTCACACTCGTGCTCGTGGAGGCTTCCATGACAATCATGTGTGACTGGCCTGCGAAGAGTGTGTGATAGCAGATTGTGGTGGCGGCTGAACAAACAGTCGCCATCGAGTGATGTGATCAAACATATCGAATTAAGAGTTAGATGTTAAGCCACAAGTAGATGCACCACGTGATGGGAGGAAGGCTCTCTACTTATCATCTGTCATTTGAATACCAAAGTACCTGTCACTTAGCACCGAAAAATGAAGGTTGGAATGTGTAAACAAATTAACAGGAGGAATGAACGAACTGCGTCATTTCAGGGTGCTTGAAAGTGTGAGATTGGATCCTGTCGAGTACACAACAAATGTAAAATTGAGCAAGTCACAAGAGCGAGGGCTTTATTACATGCGTCTTTGTATGCAGACACATGAGTGGACAGGGTGGATATGGCTGGCTGGCTGGCTGAATGGCTAACCGGATGACTGAATGACTAAATGCATGACTGACTGTATAATAGAGGCTGACAGATTGTCAAGATGGTTCTGCTTTCAAATAATCATGGGAATGCAATCACCTTGTAAACCGCAGTGGCAACATCTACTGTAAGTGCAGCCATTTCCACCAAATTACTTACTGTCCTCACTAGCTGAGAGGGAAAATGCATTACAAGGGAAGCTGCCAAATGAGTTGGAATGTTCAAGTCATCCATCTAAGCATTCAATTCACCTGACGCACTCGTTATCCACTCCACATTTCTGGGGCAGGCATTACTTCGTCTCAACAGCCCTAGGCTTGCTTTGTGTCAATGTTCAAGAGTGTGGAAGCCTGTGGTGGACGAAACTGCTCGATGCAAATTATTTACCTGGCGAAAACCAAACCCCAACTGCCTAACCTCCTGTAAGGGTGCAAATACATTAGACGAAAGCATGCAGATTAGAAACAAATGTGCGGTCTCCATCAGACTTGTATCTTCGTGGTAAAGAATGACAAACTGTAGAGGTGATGGCCTTCCATGCTATATTTCAAGACGCTTTTGTTGGTTATCTCATTTCCATTGTGCATTCTGTCCAAACTCACTTAGGCAACCTGTAAAATGCATCTGACCTTGGTGTTATTAAGAGGTCCCTTGTAGTTAGATGTAACTTCTAAGCTTGTTAAATTATTTGTTCGAATACCCCATTTGGAGGAACACTGGAAGACTGCACAAACAGTGCTAATTGAAATGGCATGGATCGCCTAGGAGGTGCAGGAAGAGGACAAAATCTGGTTTCTCTATTCAACTTTAAGCATTTGTGGAGTCCAACAACCCCACCGTCCTTGATGTTTCTTCTCCAACCACACTTCTAAAACGAAGGGTCTATACTTTTTTGAAGAACGACTACTTTCATTGATGGCTTCTGAATTTGAGGAATAAATTTCCTAGAGCGCAGACTGGTTGACTGCAACTTGACGAGGCTAATGGGAAGCCCCTATTGTAGAACAATGCGCGATTGTCCTCCTTGTCACTTAGGTGGTTCTAAAACACCTGAAGAGCAAGCGTGATCACAAGAAGTGTTACAAATGATGCTCGAGTGTGAAGGCAAGCTAAACAATAGAACCCTAGTTGATTTATTCGTAGCCTAGTTGAGTTAGCTGTCCACCATCTGTCCAGTATTTGCACACCAGAACCGGAGTGTCGACAAGATATTTTGTGCAGTGCTCGCTAAAATTCCTCTATTGTCCAACTTCCGTCAAACAAGCACTCCAAAAAATAATAGTCTTATATGTATTATTTAGAATCAGCAAAGGTGCTTTCCGAGTTTTAAAAAGATTTGCATGATTCGTTATGCGAGAGAAATAAACTAAACGTAGCAGATGAGCTAAAGCAGGCACTGGAATAGTCTGCTTCATTGTTAAAACTTGATGCGCATTTGGCAATCAAACCAAAGCCTTGTCACATCCGTTTCTGCCTCCCTTTTATTTTCTAGCTGTTTACCCTATACTTAACTTCCAATAACCATATTCGGCAAACAGTCTCACGTCACGTTGGTCCTTAGAAATCAGGGCGATGGGCTAAAATGCCAGTAGGAAGAAGTGCTTCTTCCACACATTCTAGTGTAACGGAGATGTATGAAAGAACTGGATGATAAAAGCAAACGCGGTTTGGTCTTCGGCAAGTGAACAATTCACGACGAGCAGTTTCGTTCACCACAGGCCACCTCACTCACGAACGCAGACACGAAGCAGGCACAGGTCTCTTGAAATGAAGTACTGCATGCCGCAGAAGTGTGGAGTGGCCAGTGGATGGATCAGGTGAATAGAATGTCTGGGTGGATGACTTGGACATTCCATCAGACCAGATCAACTAAGCACTCATTCACATGATGCCCGATTGAATGCAATAGTCATTTCCCATTGCATGCAAGGGCGTCAGTTCGACTGTAACTCTGTTTGTGGGTGCATCGGCTAGCTGTCACTCCCATTGGAGTAGTGCTTCTGCTTGTAGATTTTGTGGGTGAATGAAGGGCCAGTAAACTGAGAGGATGGTTGGCATGTGTTCCTGTATGACATGCAGTTGGAACTCGTTTAACAGCTTCCCTTGTACCACATTTCCCCTCACAGTTGATAAGGTGGGTAAGTAATGTGGTGGAAGTAACTGCAGTCACAGTAGATGATGGCACTGCAGTTTACAAAGTGGTTGGGTTCACGTGATTGATATCTGAACACTGTAGCACATGAGAGTTTCGCGAATCCCCACTGATATGCCAAATGTATCAACGAGATGCTGTCAGTCATCCTGTCAGCCATTCAGCCAGCCAGTCAGTCGTATCGCCCTGTTTCCTCATGTGTGTCAGCAAACAAATGCGCAGTTGTCGAAGCTCTTGCTCTTGTCACCACTTCTTAATTTTACATTTGTTGGGAACTCGGCAGGATACGATCTCACTCTTATAAATACCGAGACATTAAACAGTTATACTGGTTGCACATCACCAAGGTCAGTTGATTTTCACCTGTGAATCTGAACTCACTTTACTCAGTAGTAGGCAACGCGTGCTTCCTTTTTCCAATGGCAAGTGCCAGGTAGAGAGCCCTCCTTACCTCACCTGATGCACCTACTTGCAAAGTAACCAGCATGCACCACCAAATGCGAGATGTTTGATCACATCACTTGGTGGTGACTCTTTGTTTAGCCACCATCACAATCCACTGTCACACTCTCTCCGCATGCCGTGCCACACTTGATTGTCATGGAAGCCTCTACGATCACATGTTTGGAAGCATAGTAAGCGAGAATAACCCCAAAATCAAGGATTTTTGTAGTAAGTGCTTCTGGATAAGACATTACTTTGCGATCAGGCTCTACCACTTAGCCTTTTCCAGGCATCAGAGCAGAAGTTGTGAGTGGAGCGGCGGCATCCATAACAATGGCTGTGAGTTGGTAACCTCAGTTTGTAAAGCAGACGCATTCGGTCAACCTGCATTCAGTTCAGTCAATTGATACATATTAGTATGCTGGGGTCAAACAAGAAGGGAAAATATTAGGGAGAGTAATGGAAAAAACCGAGAAAAAAGCTGATCCCTATTTATATATGCTTTCAGTTCCTGCGTACAAATTATTGCCTGCCTCTCCCACTATCTTACCAGTAAAACTATGTTACTGGAACGTGACGAATTTGAGTATTGCAAGCCTGTGTGTGAATGCAACGCCACAGATCCCCATTGATGCTTCCACTGGATCT